GGCTCGGATGACCGTGTTGTGTTGATACCAGCGAAGAAAATTGGAAATCAAAAGAGGGGACTAAAGTTCCAAATGCAACATACGGAAAGAATGCGAAATCAGTCATAAATAACGGATGCCCAATATCTATATTCTCCAATATCGACTAGCGTTAAATGAGACATTTTCAAAAAGCGCAACTATAAGGTTTTTTTTGATAAAAAATTATTTGGATGAGCCATTGGCGTCTCTGGTTGCAATTATTTTTTCTAGTTGTCTCAGAAATTGACAGAATTTTCACGCTTGGGTTGCTTGTTTTTGTTCAGTCAATTTTAACTTCAGTTTTCTGTTTAGTATCACCTCTTTAATTTTTTCTAGTCGGGGGGGGGGGGGGGGTTAAAAATTTCAATTCGACCATGATCCGGCTCCAATTATGGGCCAAATGAATATGTTGTTTTATGATTTCAATAACCTAACTGGTCACGCTGATTTCATATTGACCCAAAAGTTAACTCTCAAAAATGATAATTGGAAATTCAATGTTTTATAGGCTTTCTCTATTTTGTTTATTTTCAATTTGAGGCCAATAGATGGTACTCGGAACTCATGTGCCTCTCGAAGTCCAGTTCAACTAAACCATTCCTAAAAGAGTTAGAGCGAGCACTTTGCTTTTATAAAAACTCCGGGTGGCTTGGATGACCATGTTGTGTCTATACCAGTAAAAAGAGAAAACTCGAACTGAAAAGAGGGAACAGAGGTTCCAAATGCAAGATACGGAAAGAAGGCGAAACCGTACATAAATAACGGATGACCAATAAGATTTTCTAACATTGACTACTTAAATATGAGACCCGGGTGACAAGTGAGTAACTGTGGCGGGTAAATGAAAACTTTTCGAAAATTATTAGCGCGGAGGGTGAAGAAAAGGAGTCAATACTGGTGGAATGGAAATCCTACGTCTTTTTTTCACCAAACAAACGTAGATTCTTCAAAAAGTTTTTTTTGACCGGTTAAAAATTTAAGTTTTTTTTCTGATAATTACCAAACTATGCGCTAGAAACATCACGTTGTGATTTAAATGGTGAGCTGGGGATTATTTTTCAAGAACAAAAAATCAGAAACTTTCCAAAAAGCGCTTTTTTTATTGAAAAAAACTGCGTCAAAAATGTGAATTCCGTAGAATTTGACAAAAAATTCACGCTTATATTGACTATTTTTTTTATTCAATCGACAATCATTTTTCGACAATCAAACTAATGATTTTGACAAAAAAATCTTACCCTGTCGTAGATTGCAAATTCAAAATAATATTTCATCTCCGAATTTTTTGTGGGGTTTGAGAATTATCAATTTGACTATAATCTGGCTCCAGTTATGGGCGCTATGAAAATGTTTGTTGATGATTCCCTGAATTTCGTTCAAAGTATATGAGCTTGGCGAGTTATCCCGAAC